TCCCCTGACTGCCCCAATCCCTCTCCACACCCCTGCCCCCTGACAGGTCCCCCCAGAACCCCCACCCCATCCAACCCTCCTGCTCCCTGTTTCTTGACTCGCCCCCAGCGCGGGGGAGGGAGCGGGGCTGGCCAATCAGGGCCGGCTGCCATGGGCAGGGGGGTGGCTTTCTGGGTGTAGCGGCACAAACAGCTCCTGCTCCCGTTTTGCTACCGGCGTGCTGAAGCTGCAGCGGGGGAGGGGCTTTTGCTGCCTGAGCCGCTCAATCCGGCGCGGTTGCCCTGTCAGCCGCTTTTGGGTCTTTAGATAGCCGTCCGGAGGGAAATCCCGGACATTTTTAGCTTTTTACAAATTCCCCCCGGACGGCTATTTAAAGACCCAAAAGCCGGACATGTCCGGGGAAACCCGGACGGATGGTAACCCTACCCATGAACCTTGCAGGCTTGGGTTTAAGACTCCTGAATGATGGTATTTTCTGCAACAAACAAAGTAAGGGTACTGCAAATAACACTTTCTTCATTTCCCACCTCTGATGCATCCTCTAGAGTAGGCCCATCCTGTGCACTAAATGAAGCAGGGGTCCCATTCATAAAAAACAAAAAGTAATAATGCAATTAAAGTCTGTATTGTAATGCATATGCACAGACAACCTGAATTCTGCCATTACTTAACTTTTGAGTGTTTGACTTTGCAACCGTAATAATGTTTTTAATGTAGTTTTTTGTGTGTAATTTCCTAGGTTTTTTAAAAAAGCAACTGGAAAAACAGATATGCCATCATACTGACACCCACATGGGTCATCAGCAGGGTTGAAACCTTTAGATGCATTACATAGAACTCTGCCACTTGAGTTAACAGAGTAATTGATAGCAGTAGTAGGTTGTTATCCTCCTTGTGGACCAGCACTAGCGGGGAATGAGACACTTTGCCAGAGGGTTTCACAGATATTTGCTGACAGCAGAGAAATAGTAAGATTTCAGAGATCTTGGGTTCCATTCCAGTCCCTGGAGGGGATTGTGCTCTACTGGGCACAGACTATTATGCCCATTCCCCCAAACATGGCCCTTTCTGCCCCTTCCTCTCCAATCTATTCCTATCCCAGTCCTGTCTCATCCCCATGCCTGGCTTTTCATCCCACTCCCATTCTCCTCACTTAGCCATTCCCAATCTCTACTCCTCAGGCTTCTCATCCTAGTTCCAGTCTCCTTGCCCAGTAAATCCCCCCTCGTCCCCAGGAATTCCCATCCCAGTCTCACCCCTCCCCACCCAGTCTGGGTAACCTTAGTAACCATTCCCAGTTGCTCCCCATCTGTCATCTCCTTGCACCCAGTCTCTCTCCACCCCACAGCCTCCAGTATCCCTCCCTAGGCTCCTCATCCAATCTCAATTCCCTCCAGGGACTCCTTGTCCCCATCTCTTTGCAGAGCAGTCCCATTTCTCTCGTCACACTGCTTCCTCATCAGATTTCCCCCACTTCCTTCCCACTGCCCTACTCATTCATAATCCCAGTCTCCTTGCCCAGCCAGTCCCAGTCTGCTCTCTTCCTCCTCATCCAGTCTCAATCTCTTTCACAGCCAGGGTTTCCCTGTTCTCTTCTGTTGTCTCTCTGACCAACCAGTCCTGATTTCTTCTGTTTCCCGCTGGCTCTCCTGGCCCAGCCAGTCCCAGTCTCCCTCCTGGTCCCCAGTCTCAGTCCCTTCTCCCACTACCCTCAGTCTCCCTACCTCTTCAGACTCCATGTACTAAGCAACTTCCCCCACCCTACCACCTGTTTTGGCTCTTGTCGCCTCTGCATTTGATTTAGGCAGCTTCCTCCCTGCAGTCTGGGACCAGCAGAGGGTGGGGGTGAGGGACCGTGATAGCACAGGAGAGAGACAGGCTACCTGCTCTCAGTTCTGGTGCCTGGACGCAGACCAACCAAGGCTTGGAGCAGCCAGAAACTGCAATTTCAGGGAAAACCCTGCTCAGCTCCCTGCAGCCACAGTCTGGAGCATGCTCACTGCAGGTGGAGTCTTCAGGGAATTAAGCTGCAAGTCTCTATTGAGCATGTGCAAACTGTGATTTTTAAAAAAATGTATAGCTTGGCCAAAGTTGGGCCAGTTTTCACAAGGATGGCAAAAGACGCACACTGACACAAAGGCCACCCTCCTTGCCAAATGTAAAGTCCTTGCTCCAAAGCATGGGGATGCTAGAGCTGCTAAAAGAAAAGGTAATTAGAGCCATATATTTTTCCTTAGCTTTGTACTTGGAAATAGCTAAACCATTCTGGCTGAAATTTTCCAAAAACCATTAACCTGGGACAAACACTCAGCATGGGAAATTTCAGCCCAAATGCTTAAAGCATGGCAACTGCAAACAGGGTCTTATAATGGAAAGAGCTGGGTAATCTCAATACTAGGCAGTGCTATCAGTCCCACCTATTGTCAGAATCATGGCAAATGCAAGTGCTTTGGTTTCATTTGCTACATATGTCATTGCTGCAGACCTTTCCTTAGCCTGAGTTCTCAGAGCCAGCATATGCCTTGTGGGCAAAGCAATCTATGATCCCAAATAAATTACCACACTACTTTCCTTCGGCCAGAAGATACCTGTTATTTTGTTTAGTAGAAAAGAAAATTAACGCCATCAATTTTATTCTGCCTGAAGCGAATAATCCTGACAGCAGGAGTTAGTTTCGCTACCATAGGAAAGCATAAAAAGTCAAATGTGCTCTTGCAAATGCAGTGTAAGATGCATCTAAATGAAAGTATGTATTCTAAAGCCTTCCTCCTCCCATTTATCACTAACATAATAATACCTTACAATTACAGAGCCTCCTTTCATCCAAAAGCACTTTACAAACTTAAACTCCTATGCAAACTCAATATCGGAACTCCACACAAAATGGAACCACCTCTGGGGTGAAACATGGCAGCTGATTAATAGGACAGCAACAACCCAAGCTCGGTGTGACTAAAACTGAGCTCTTCATCTTTCTCTGTTTCCCCCTTTTCTGTTAATGTTAGCAAACCTCCTGTCCCTCAGCCTGATGAGCCAGACCTAATTTTTCACACTGCTTTCTCCTCACCCTTCTCGATGCTGGCACAAAATCAGGAATCAGCCCACTGTAGACATAGCTATGTAGGGGCTTCTACAGGACTGAGCATCAGGAAATCTATGATGTTTGCACTTACCCTCTTCTGTGCTCCTCATTCTGCTGAGTTTGATTCCCCTCCATTCTAGGAAGTGGAATCTGTCAACTTGTTTTATAAACCGTATTTAATTTTGCTTCTGCAATGGCTTGCAATTACTTGGGGGCAGACTATTTGTAGCTAGGATGGAGTGAGATGGTCAGAGACTCAGCCACAGGAAATAATCAGGAAATAAAGACACCCCCTAATGATTTTGGCAGAAACAACATAAATAGCAAGACAGACTTTATGCTCCTTTTCCTTTGGCCATCGTTCGGAAGCTGCAGACACTGATTGCTCAGTAGATGGTGCTGTTGTTTCAGCAGGAATATTAATTTAGCACCGAATGCTGCAGTTATACCAACCCTATTACCAGCTTGAAAAAAGGGTCTGATCCTCAGCTGCTGCCTTAAGTGGAGCTACACTGATTTACACCACCTGAGGGTCTGGTTCAAAATGCTTTTCCTCCTGGACTCCCTATTCATGAGATGCATGCAGCAATCACTGTCAGGTGTGTTGATTTGTGAGGGGCTTTCTACTGGCATTAGAAGTCAAAACTATCCCCTTTTCTTCACTGCCTAATTTATAGTCGAAAGAATTTCAGATACAGATTTGGACCTGAAACGGAATGAACCCAAAACATAAAAATAGGCCCAAGCTGGGAAGGTTGCATCTGGATCCAAATATAGATTTTTTAAAAACTCACGGGCTTTTGCTCTACGGTGGAGGCATGGGAAACTCAGAGGCCATTGCCATGGACCATCTCCACATGGAACACGTATCCTTCCAAACAGCTTCCCAGTCTCTTTGAAAGGTTGGCTCCTAAGGGGGCCACTGACTGTGCCCCCTCTTCTGTACCTGCCATATATTCTGCTCCAGGGGAGGGTGTGAGTTACTGCAGACTTTGCTGGTGGTAATTTCCAACAGATTTTTGGAAATTTGCATGGCCCTGACTCTGCTCCTGAGTAGACCTGGTCAGGAACTTTTCAACACAACCAAAACTTTTTGTGGGAAGGTACCAGTTTCAACTAAACTTTTGTTGGGAAAGTTTCTTAGATCCAGGATGGAATTCCTGGGCAGAGGAGACCCCAGAATAGTAAATAACCTGATGGTTTGGGCATTCCTGTGGGATGTAGAAAACCACATTCAAGCCCCTGCTTTGCCTGATTCAGACCAGGGATTTGAATCTGCATCTCACACAGCCTGGTTGACTACCTCAACCAATGGATTATTGGCTATTCTGGGGCAGGTGTCTCCCAGTCTCTCCTATTGGAGCTGTTCTACTTTGTATAAATAATTAAATATTCATTGGGCAGAAAGCCAAAGAATGATGATAGCCCAGTGGTTGGGGTGCTCATCTGGGAAGTGGGTGACCAAGGGTTAAGTCACTGTTCTGCCTCATTCTCCTACCACCAAGGTGAGTGCCCTAACCATCAGTTATTGGTAAAGCTGTGAGTTTGTCACGGACGTCACGGAAAGTCACGGATTCCATGACTTTCCGTGACCTCCATGACTTCTGCAGTGGTTGGTATGCCTGGCTCAGGGGCAGCTCAGGCAACCTTTGCGCCAATCGCACCTGCTGCTGCTGGAACAGTCTCGGGCCACCATGCACCCCCCCCCCCAGCAGCAGAGTTTGGGTGTGGGAGGGGGCAGGGGGTTGGCCACAGGACAGGGGTTACCTGGGGGGCTCCCGAGAGGTGGCGACATCTCCCTCGCTCAGCTGCTAGTCAGAGGCAAGGCCAGGCAGCTCTGCACCCAGGAGGCTATTTTAGTCTATTCCAGTCTTATGGCTGGAGCCACCAGGTGGCGATCTCATTTAGTCTTACAATTTCTTTTTCTTACCATACTAGTAGTGTCCAGTCTTTGAGGAAATGCTGTATTGTTGTTAGTTATGCTTTGAAATTTCTTTTTGGGGAGCTGTGGCAAGCAGTAAGGCAGTTTCCTCTGTGCCTTAAATCCTCTAACTAGAGTCAATTCTTGGAGACAGAGTTGCTGTCTAAGAACTGGGCAATGATTCTTATGCTGAGGTTCCTGAAAGGGGGGATTGCCTGCATGCTGTTTGTGACCACCTCTGTTCAAGAACTTATGTATATAGTGTAAAATGAACACGCTGAACTAAGAATATACCCAGACTCTCATTTCTCTTCCAATGGGAAGCCAATCTGCAAGGCCTCTGCAACTTGACTGAGAGGTGACAATTCTGATCTATTCATATTCTGATCTTCTGCCAGTTAACATGGTATTTGAGCAGGAGAGCCACTGCTCTCTTGACACATTTTTCTCCTTTCTGCAGCATGCTGTGGAGGAGATCATGTGGCCCTCTGGGAGGAACTTCTGAGCTAGACAGGCAAACAAGTGATATGTGTGCTATAAATACTTAGAGAGACAGCCCAGATGAGATGTATGCATCTCTAGAAAGAGATTTTTGTGTTTGCTTTTTTGTGGTGATGGGTAACCTTATGAAAACCTAGATAGAGATGTATGCATAGAGAGAAGAGACTTAGAGGTGGGCAAAGAGGATATAATAAGTGGCGCTTTGGTTACAGAACAGAGCCATCATGTACAGTATCTTTGTGAAACTGGCTTAGAAAAACAATGTGTATTTGCGCAATTGTCTCCCTTGATTCTTCTTCTTAACAGGAGCAAATGTGAACATCACAACAAACAATCAGGATGAAGAGACTCCCCTGCACACAGCTGTACGTTTTGGCATCCCTGAACTGGTGGCATTTTACGTGGCCCAAGGAGCAAATGTTGATGCAGTCAATGCCCACATGGAAACTCCACTGGCCACTGCAGCTTACTGGGCCCTTCGCTTTAAAGAGCAGGTGTACAGCATGGAACACCACCTGATCTGTAGGATGCTGTTAGACTATAAAGCTGAAGTTAACTCTCGTGATGAAGATTTCAAATCACCACTCCACAAGGCTGCCTGGAACTGTGACCATGTGCTGATGCACGTACTGCTTGAGGCTGGGGCTGAAGCAAACCTGATGGACATCAATGGCTGTGCCCCCATACAATATGTTCTGAAAGTGACATCCGTGCGGCCAGCTGCCCAGCCTGAAATCTGCTACCAACTTTTACTGAATCATGGAGCAGCTAGAATATATCCTCCACAGTTCCACAAGGTGAAGGATGTATATGGTGAAATGGTGCTACTCTAGAGTAAAGTTAGAGTGAAGAGATGATATTTTGATCTGCTTTAGTTTTTAGGGACCAATTCAAAGTTCAGATTTGAGTTCAAATAAGGTTAGGGTTTGAATCAGGATTTCATGGTGCCAAAACCTTGTGACCTGTTCTTGTGAGACTTTGGCCCAAAATGACAAAAATCTTGCAAGATCAGCTGTTCTCATGAGATTTGCCCCTTCTCATTGTTCCAAGAGAGCTGCTACTAATGCCAGAAATAGACCCCTTTGGGTTTTGGAGCCAACCAGAAACCAAAACTGTAAGTGTTGGTTCAAATCTAAGGATTCAGATCTTCCCTCATTTCAGATATACTGATATGCCTTAGTCAAACCCCAGTTACTGGGCTCAATACAGGGGGAACCAGGTGACATTTAATGGTTTGTGATATATAAAGAAGGCTAGACAAGGTGATCTACCAGTCCCTTCTGGCCTTGAAATCCATGAATTTATGATGAATCATTTACCCCTGAAATTCGAAGGCATCACATTTGACTTTTAGTCCTTTTCTAACATGCAGTATGAATAGGTAAAGCCAAGGAAGAGGCTTGACTAGAGAGTGTGGGGAGGAAGATCAAAATATCACCCAAAGAATGTCTTGAGGTCTGCAAAGTCCAGGGCACTCATCAATATAGAGATATATGTCATTACTCCAGGCGAGGAGAGGGCTTTCTGTACTGAGTATGGAATACAATATGAACCTGTCGATGCTAGCACCTACGGTGTTTTCACCACTGTTTGAGGAAGTTCGTATGTCAAGCCCAGCTTGTTTTCATAGTATAGACTGGGCCTTCCCTTGAGAGAGTATTGCGTAGAGGACTGGGAGTCAGGCCTCCTGTGTCTTATTTTTGTCTCTGCCACTGACCTGCTGTGCAGGGACGGCTCCAGGCACCAGTGCAGGAAGCAGGTGCTTGGGGCGGCCAATGGAGAGGGGCGGCACGTCCTGGTCTTTGGTGGTAATTCGGCAGCGGGTCCCTCAGTCCCTCTCAGAGGGAAGGACCAGCTGCCGAATTGCTGCCGAAGAATTAAGCGGCGCGGTAGAGCTGCCGCCCAAGTGCCGCCGATCGCGGCTTTATGTTTGTTTGTTTTTCTTCACCACTTGGGGCGGCAAAAAAGCTGGAGCCGGCCCTGTGCTGTGTGATGGTGTGTCAAGTCTCCATGCCATCATTTAACCACCTGTAAAATACGTAATGTGATATTTTAGCTCATAAGGGTGCTCGGAGGCGTACATTATTAATGCTCGCACAAGGCTGTGCGGAAAGGTAAGCATCCAATAAATGCAAAGTGGTATTGCATGAATGTGAGCAAGGGCAGGATTTGGTCCACTCTCAATTAACAAGCCATAGTAGAGTCAGAACTGTGTCCAGGGCTCTTGCATGATTTAAAAGCTTGACTACCTATTTATAACAGTGTTATTTTCCTTCCTTTGTTTTACAGTGTTAGTCAGGGCAGGACTTTTGTTCATATTCAAGGACCTGTTCTCTGCTCAGGCATGCATGAAACTCCTGTGATTAACATTCATCAAAGTTATGCCCTATGTGGGGGAAGGGGAGTGGGGGAATTGTTAGTACATTTGTGACTGACAGCCTTGAGAAACGAGGGTGAAGATTGCTGCCATTCATGAAGGTACACTCTAACCCAGATGTGGCCTAATGGATAAGGCAGTGGGGTAGGAACTGTGAGAACTCTTTTCTATTCCTTACTGTGGCACTGATCTGCTGTGTGACCGGGGGCAAGTAATTCATCTGTTTTTCCTCTCCCACCTTCAGTCTGCCCTGTCTATTTAGATTGTAAATGGTCATTTCTTACTATGTCTTTGAACAGTGCCCAGCACAACAGGGCACAGATCTCAGCTGCTGCTGGTAGGTGCTAGTGAAATTTAAAGAATCATAATGTCTGCTTCCCTCTTGCAGGTGTTGCAGGCCTGTCATTCCCACCCGAAAGCCATTGAGGTTGTCATTAACTCATACGAATATGTCAAGTCAACATCAAAGTGGAGAGCAGCTATACCCGATGACGTCTTTGAGGTAAGCTTTTAAAGAGCTTCCACTTGTGTTTGCAATGTTTGCCTCCCTAACATTTCCACCCAGTCACAGAGAAGTGATTGTAATTACAGATAATGCTTTGGAAAGCCTAATCCAAGAGGACAGGACGAGTCTTTTATAAAATGGCTTGCACACAGAAACAGGAACAGAGAATGCAGTGCCGGTTCTAAGCAGTAGCCCTGAGAATTTCAGAGCTATATGGAATATTCAGGTCTACATTGCAACTTTAAGTGACAGTTCATTTTTGAACAGGGTATCGGAGGGAGCACACAGCAGGAAAAATAGAGATACGTGACATTTTTCATGTGGAAAGTTTTCTCACAGAAAAATACTGTATGGTCATCAATGATTTTTTTTCTTTGTCAGAAAATATATCTTCTGAGCCAAAAAAAACCCCTGATTTTCCATTAAGAAATATTAAAAACCCATTTTCATTTCAAACCAGCATTTTAAAATGAAATGACAAGCTTTGTTTCATTTGGACATAAAAAGTCACCATGTTTCTGATTTTCAGTTCAAAATAAGTAAACAGAAGGATTTGCCGCATCTACATGTCTCTTTGAAATGACAGATTTTCAGTTTTGACATTTCTCAGTCAGAACTTTTCATTCTATTAATTTCTTTTTTTGATATTTGAACTTCCTATTCGGATTTGGACCAGAAGCTAATTTCAAAATGTCAAAATTTCCTGTGGGATGGAAATTCCATTTTCGGTACTTGTCTAAGTAACAGTCCCTAGAGGAACTCTGGCTGAGCCAGGCACAGTTTCTCCAGGGCATGGGAGCTCCATTATCCTTTAAGTCAGTCTAGCATGTGTTGATCATGCCCCAGTTCATCTCTGCTGGCTAGGATGGAGGGAAGCGGATGGCTGTGGCTCCTTCCACTTTGGAAAGTTTAGTGCCATTGCTGCTGCTAGGGTTATGCAGTCTTTGCTGTCAAGGAGAGCAAGGATTGTGACTGTGGCTGACCTGTCTGCAGGGCCCTCAGTGAGTAGATTTCTAACATCAGTGAATAGTATAAAAATGCCATGTTGCGTCTATGTGACACTGCATGTTTTTGAGCCCTGTTATGGGATTTCTAGCAATTTGGTCATAGCTCCAGAAGGGAATTCATGACATGTATAGACATCCATGAATAAGGCTGCTGGATGAAAACAGAAGGGGCCTGGGCTTGGGGTAATTTAGGTGAAAAAATTCAGCATAGACATACCCTGAGTCTCCTCTGAAATCAGGAATAACTCCACTGAAGTCAATGGAGGAACATCAAGGTGAAGCTGGTATAAATGGGATGAATATTGTAATAGAATGAGCAACTGTATTATACTATTCTGCCACTAGGTGGCACTGTGTGTAAAATACTTTATTTAAAGGTAATCCTAGCCATACCTGGCAGTGCATTACAGGATCTTATGATGAACATATCTGGTGTGGATAAGCAAGCTCTTTAGCCAGTCCATATCTAGTACAGAAGTACATGACATGGTGTTAACAGTGGGATTAAGAACAGAAACAAAAGGAAAACAGCAACAAAGCTTGCAGCCAGAGGGAACAAAGGTTGCAGGATCTCATCAACATGCCACTCTTCAATGCCCTGGAGAATTTCAGCTTTGACAAACTTTCAGAATAGACAGACTGGAAGCAGTATTTTGCAAGATTTCACATTGCTACCATGCTCCACAAGGAAACTAATGAGTATCTTCTTTAATTTATGCTGTGGGGAAGCAAGCAGAGCATATCTTTAAATCCTTCTACTTTACTGACGACAGTCACAAAGATGACTATGAAAGGGTTCTGGCTATGTTTGATTCATACTTTATATCTCAGAGAACTATGAAAGAGCACGTTTTCACCAGAAAATTCAAGGACCAGGGGGAAATGGTGAATGTTTTATTGCAGCTCTGCATGCATTAGTTGAAAACTGATTTTGGGAAAGCAAAACATGAAAATACCAGAGACAGTCTTTCACAGATGCTACAATGAAGAGAGATCTAACTCTAGCCACAGCTATTCAAATAGCAAAGCAGCCTGAACTGGTGAGGCAGCAACAACATGGGTAACTTGCTAAACTTGACAAATAAGACACTAAGTTGGAAGCTGTGAACAGATGTAGCAGGAGTGCTAAAAGTCATTACCATAAGACCCCTGATGAAAAGAGAGAGAATTCTCAGGCTAAGAGGGACAAATTCCAGCCTACATGCACAAGGTGTGGAAAAAGTCATATCCTAAGAGATGATGCATGTCCAGCCAGAGACAGATGGTGTATTAAATGCAAGAAGTATGGACATTTTGCAGCTGTTTGCCACACCAAAGCAGTCAGGGAGTTGCCACACCAAAGCAGTCAGACAACCAAGAGCCATTGTTTCTGGGATCTATCACGTGTGAAGACATAGAGCCTTCCAGGAAAGTGAAATTGAATATTCATGGCAAGATTATTGATTTTAAAATTGACTCAGGAGTTGACATCACAGTTAGCTCAGAAGGGATTTACAATCACCTTCAACCCCTCCAAGCGCTGACATCATCTGACACAGCTTTCACTAGCCCTGAGGTATTCTGAATTGCATGGGCCAGTTCACTACAGAAACAACTTACAAAGACAGAAGCTATGCATTCAGAGTGCATGTGTTCAAAAGATCGAAGACCAACAACTTCCCCAGCCACAGCGTGGAAGCCATGATGGGCCTAATGAGAAAGGTGGAAGATTTGGATGGAGGATTTGATGATCTTGAACTTTTGAAAGGAGACCCAGCACAAATCCACTTAAGAGGCAATCTGAACTATACAGTGTACAAACACCTCTACCAGAGAGACCTTGGAAGAGACTAGTTACAGATTCATGCAAATTCAAAGGACATAATTACCTGTTCATTGGGAATTGTTTTCCCAGCTATATAGAAATTTTGTACCTGAAAGACATAATATGTCACAGTGTTATTGAGAAACTGAAGTGCATGGTTGCTCACATCAGTATTCCAGAACAACAAATGATGGGTGATGGACCACAATTCACTGCAGCAGCATTTAAGACATTCCAAATGAAATATGATTTTGATCATATTATTAGAAGCCCACATTACCCGCAAACGAATGGAGAGGCTGAGAGTGCTGTCCAGGCAGCCAAGAAAATCCTACAGTAGGAAGATCCAGTCCTTGCTCTTCTGAGCATAGGCGTAGTTTGACTTCTATATTTGGGTCAGGGCTGGGGCCAGCTCCACATGGCAGGGCCCGGAAAAGGAGTGCCACCTCCACCCCCTGACTCCTCTTAGCAGGCCACCCAGCCTGTCTGGGTTGAGCAGGGGGCACAACCAAAAATTCTAACTCAAAAGGGGAGTCAGGGGCTCAGCTCAAAAACTTTGAAAACCACTGAAAGTAGGGTGCATGCAGGGGGTAGCTAGGGGCTGTGTGCAGTGAGGGGTGCAGGGAGGAGCTGTGTGCTGGGAGGGCCCCCTTGTGGTTGCTGTTCCCTGAGGGCCCTGTCAACCCCAGAGCGTGGTTCTGCCCCACCTCCAGGCAGATCTTACCCACTGCATGGGCAGTCAAAGGGGGCTGGGAGTTTAGGAGTATCCACAGCCCTGGACACCAGCAGTAGGAGATGGGGGAGCAACACGGCTGCCTGCTCCATGGCACCAGCCAGAGAAGCAGCCGCCCTGCACTGCCCAGCTCTGGTTTCCTGCCTCCGACCTGACCATGGTGTGGGGTGTCAGGGAGGGGAAGCAGAAGAGGGGTGTGTGTGTGTGTGTGTGTGTGTGTGTGTGTGTGTGTGTGTGTGTAGCTGCCCCTGGGCCTGCACCACTCTGGTTAAGGCACTGCAGTTTGGGGGGACAATGCCCCCACCATACCTCCCCCAAATGCCGCTCATGCTTCAAGTTACAGATCTACACCAATAGTGGCTACTGGATATAGTCCAGCACAACTCCTGATGGGAAGACAACTCAGAATTACTGGTCCTATTTTGGAAAAGAACCTATCTCCATAGTGGCCAGAAAGAGAGAAGCCAAATCGGATAAAAAGGTTAAGTGAGTTTATGAACACTTTTACAACAGACGTCACTCAGTTAGAGAACTGCCGGGTCTAGAACATGGTGATTGTGTTTATGTCAAATTGGATGGAGAAAAAGGATGGACAACTCCAGGTGCTGTAAAGAGAAAGAATTCAGCACCTAGATCAAATGCGATCAAGTCCAGTGGTGAAGAGTTCAACAGAAGTCATTGACATCTACAATTTGTTCCTCAGAAAGAACAATCAACAGAGCAAACTCTACAAAAGGCAGATACAGAACAAGAAGAAGACTCAAGACAGTCGTTGCTACTAATGGCCAGCCAGATGACCAAGCTGTTACATGTTTGGGTCACGTAATTAGAAAACCAGCATGATATTGAGACACTTAACAGACTGATAGCTACTGAACTTCAAAGATAATGTGATAGTGTAAATACTGTAAATGGTAGGAAAGTAGATCTTAAAGGGGGAGATGTAATGGAATGCCAAACTGTAGTATACTGTTCTGCCTCTAGGTGGCACTGTGTATAAAATACTTTATTTAAAGCTAATCTTATTAAAGCCATACCTGGCAGTGCATTAAAGGATTTTATGATGAACACATCTGGTGTATATAAGCAAGCTCTTTAGCCAGGCCATATCTGGTACCAAAATGCATGACAAATATCAGACCCAAAGATACTTTCAGCTGTTCTTAAACTCAGGTAACCCTGAAAGTCTGAGCCAGATGTAACAGTCTCACTTAGGGTATGTCTGCATTTCAATCATGCTAGTTTGGGTACTAGTAGTAATGAAGCCACACAGTATGGGCTTCAACATGGGCTGTACAAGCATACCTGGAACCCGGAGTAATTATTGCAGCGGCTGGTCTGCGATAAAGTCTGTGCTGCCGCAGCTTCACTGCTACCAGTATTTGAGCTAGATTAAAGCTAGTTTAGGTGTGTCTACACAAGTTGGAATCATGTCCCTGATGTGGTGTAGACACACACTTAAATGCCACCGCTCAGTAAAATGAATGTCATTGCTGCAAAATGTATCATAGAACCATGAGATGGTTATAAGTGTTTTCTCCAGATTTGCCCAGTTTAATGGGAGACAGGGTCTTATTGACCTAAAATACATTTTGTTTTGTCTTTGCAGAGGCACAGAGATTTCTACGACTCTCTGTTCACCGTATGCAGTAATTCACCACGGTCGCTCCTGCATTTATCTAGATGTGCTATTAGACGAATATTGTTCAAAAGATGCCACAAAGGAGTCCCTTCACTTTCCATTCCACCTCCATTGAAGAAGTACTTGCTTTTAGAACCAGAAGGAATCATTTATTAAGTCTTAGCAAAGCAGACTGATAGTACCTGCAATCTCTGGGTCTGCACACATATGGAGGGAATTACCATCAGAAAGTTTTCACTAGGGAAGGTCAAAGTTCCTGGCAAAATTCTTATGCAAAGAAGGATCTGGTTTCATAAATACCAATGCCGAACTGCTCTCTCCATTATATGTACTGATCCTTTGTTCAATCTAGTTTTAAATTAACTGAACCAAGTGCGACTTCCACCACTTCACTTAGGTAATGATTCCACTGTCTATTAGGTATCACTGCTGAGAATGTTTTCCAGATATCCAACACAAACTGCCCTTGATTTTGTTTCAATTTAGTTTTTTTCAACCATCATCTCAGGAAGAACAAAACAGGATAGTGTCAGAAAAATATCTTTCTCATCAGAGTCAGCTACATCTTTCTCCAGAAAGAAAAAGATCAAAGGGCTTTGAATGAGGCCCATAGACTGAGTTCTGTATTTTAAGTTGTTTTCCTATGGATTGCCACTGAATTGGATGTTAGTTTATTATATGCTGCATTGCATCATATCATATAAAGTTTTGTCATTCACTGTAATTACATCTTTGTGCAAGTGGAGCAAAGAAGAGATTAGCAGTGTTTACGTTCATATCTGTGTGTGATGAAATTCCTACTTGTGTGCGTAACGTGTATCATTCAGTAAACTTGCACGCTGCTGAAGAGTTCACCATCACGGCTGAACTGCATCATATGGTAACTGTGGAAGGTCACCATTTCAGCTCAGCCCACAGCTCATAAATTCAGGTCCTAGAGAGGAATCTGGAGAAATTGCTGAGCTGATGGTACTGCAGATCTTTTTACTAGCTGTATCTCGTTTGTCCACATCAGGCCAGATCCTGCATGGTACCGAAGAAGAGTACCTGGTAAAAAAACACAGGTAAAAAGAGTAGGTCTGTGGCACAGAGAACCTGATTCTGAGGTAATGAGTGATGCTGTATCCTGCCTAATAGCAGAAAAAAGGCGTAGGGGGGAATGCATAGCAAAGTGTCCTTTTAGTATGATGAGAATCATGCATAAGCCCATGTCTCCTCAGAGAATGGAGAGAGAGAGCAGCCATATAGGGGGCTTGAGCCTTAGCGCCATATAGGATTTGTCTACACTGCAATTAAAAACCAGCGGCTGACCTGTGCCCGCTGACTCAGGCTTACTGGGTTAGGGCTGATTCATTGCAGGGTAGATGTTCGGGCTGGGGCTGGAGCCCAGGCTGTAGGACCCTCTGAGGAGGGAAGCCCCAGAGCACAGGCTGCAACCCGAGCCTGAATGTCTACACCTCAGCTAAACAGCCCCACAGCCTGAGCCCCGCGAGCCTGAGTCAGCTGTCATGGGTCAGCTGTGGGTGTTTAACTGCAGTGCAGACCTACCTCAGTGTGCACTACTATGCCTAGCACTTTAATTCAGATGCACCCCTGAAGAGCAACAGCTTACCACAGCCTGCTGTGCACCGATGACAAGAACTTACTGGATCAACCCTGTAAAGTAAAGCAGAATGATTACAGCACGCTTGGCTCCTTCTTATTTAGCCTGAGTAATAGGAGTTGCATTTCAGTCAGAGAGGTGGTATGGTCTGAGAGGTGAGGTGCCTCCATTTTATTACTGGCTCTGCTACTGAGGTTTTGTCGAATCCTGGTCTGGTCACTTATCTCCCCTATGCTTCAGTTTCTCCATCTATATAAAGGGGGCAACAATCCCTCACTCACCGAGTGTGATAGGTTATGCCCCTTAGGAAGCCACCTGATGTGCTGAGATACCACTGAGTCTACCTGTTCTGCCAGCATGGGCCTCCTTTAACCTGTCTTGCTGAGCCAGGCTATTAAAGCCTCCTCCAGCACACACACAGGCAGGGCCACACCCAGCTGCAGATCAGCTCTGAGAAATCTCAGTTTAAGGGACTTGCTCCAGCACTCTGCTGCTCACTCCTTTTAAGGGGTACAAACCCAAGGGTTTTATGAAATTCGCCTCCTCCCACAATGTGGAGAGAGGTGTGCACACTTCTTGTCCCCCCAGTTAGAAATTACAGAAACTGGGTTTAATAATAAGCAAAACAAATTTTATTAACTATAAAAGGCAGATTTTAAGTGTTAAAAGGGGAAACAAACAGAACAAAGCAGATTACTAAGCAAATGAAATCAAACACGCAAACTAAGCTAGTTTCACTAAAGAAATAGTATTTCTCACCCTAGATATTGTTGCAGGCACTTTGCAAAGTTTCTGTGGTTCAGAGTTCCAGTTATATTCCTTTTCAGTCTGGACCCCTGTCTCAGTCTGGACTCCCCCCTTGCGTTCCCTTCAGGTGACTTTTGCAGTCTTTCTTCTTGGGCAGACAGCCATGGAGAGGAGGAGACCTGTTGGCCTTCCGCCCCACCCTTAAATAGGATTTACATAAGGCAGGAATCCTCCATTTCCCAAACTTGACCCCCCTTCCCTTACAGTGGAAAGTTACAAGAAGTCCCAGGCAATGTTTTAGTATCAGGTGAAGACCACTTGACTCTAGTATCACAGCCAGGGCTGGCTCCAGGAACCAGCTTACCAAGCAGGTGCTTGGGGCAGCCACTTCGGAGAGGGGCGGCACATCCAGCTGTTCGGCGGCAATTTGGCGGACGGTCCCTCACTCCTGCTCGGAGCGAAGGACCTCCTGCCGAATTGTCGCCGCAGATTGCGATCGCGGCTTTTTTTGTTTGTTTGTTTTTGTTTTTTGTTTGGCTGCTTGGGGCGGCCAAAACCCTGGAGCCGGCCCTGATCACAGCATCCATGAGTCCGTGGCAGTACGGAGTGTCCATAGGAAGGCCAAGTTTTTCACAGTCCATTGTCCTCACTGATGGGCCATCTGCCCTGTCTGGCTTTTCCATTGTTGTACCTGAAGTGTTAGCAGTGGGTGTCACCTAAAGTAGCATAGTTGAAATACACATACATAGTCAATTCCTAACTTCATTAAACAGGCATACAAATTGGATAATTGCATTCAGTAAATCATAACCTTTCCAATGATATCTCACATGAGCCATCTATAGTATATCTCAGTTATGTCATATTCATGTGATCAGCATATTTTCATAAAGAATATGGAATACCATGTCACACTGGGGTGTTGTGAGGCTGAATTAATTCATGTAGATGCAATGCTTTAAGTTCCTTCATGAAAAGCACTACCTACAAGAAATATAAAGGATTTGCTCTGTGTGTGTGCGCGTGCCCTGAGTCATTCTCTGCAGGAAGCTAGATGAATGGACTGAGATGAATCTCTCAGCCCCTGGGATGATGGGGGAGCACGTAGGGCAGAAGGAGCCCATAGAATATATGTTAGAGTATGGCCATATTGTAACCTGACCTGCACATACTTCTTTATCTATTTTGTGCTCTTCAATCTGTCGGGTTCATACTAATTACTTTAGACTCAGCAAAAGGGACTGTGCTAAGAGAGGCCTGGGCTCAGAACAGGACTGGGAGCTGGAAACTCCTAGGATCTGATTGCAGCACTGAGTCTGAGGCCTTGTTTTGTGGAGGTGGTGGTGATTGTTGTGTGTATTGTAGCTGACTTCTTCACGGTAGAGCCCAGAGTATGCTAGGAGTTTTCCAGACATATGAGAAAGGCCAGCCTGCTTGATTTCTCTGCCTCACTTTACTTGTCTTAAAATGGAGATAGCAACACTTGCAGAGATGAGTGGAGCAGTTAATATTTAGAAAACCCTTTGACGATTGAAAGCACTGTATGGAAGGGCTAAGTATTATCATTATGTTATTATTAAAGCAGTTTGACCTAACAACTCACCTACCTTGAAAGTTTTCCTATAGTATAGTTCCCACCTTCCAGATGCCTGAATTGTATTTTTAAACCAATCTTTACTATAGCCAAATTTAAAAATGAAACAATAATAATCATACCTAGATCTTATAAAGCACTTTTCATCAGTAGATAGAAGGAGGTCAGCATCATTATCCCCATTTTACAGATGGGAAAACAGAGGCACAGGGCAGCGATGTGATTTGCTCAAGGTCACCCGGCAGGCCATTGACAGACCTGGGACTATAACCCAGCCCTGCTGAATGTCAGGCCAGTGCTCTAGCCACTAGGCTTACCTGATTTACTTTTGTTTCATCTTGCTGTGAATTAAGTCAGCGAATGTGCACTGGGATAGGACAGAACACTGGTTTGTTTATATTTAGCTAGACAAGAACTCAGCTTGTTATTTAACATTGTCTGGTTCGGGCAGACACTTTTAAAGAAGAATAGCACTGACCATTAAAAAAAAAATGATTTCCCTTGTGAATAAAATGGGGCATGTAGTGTACTGAGTGTTTACAGGGCCCCCTACTTACTGAAACTAAGCAAGGATTCTTGAAAGGTCTCAGTGATATTGAACTTTATTAATGTTTTCATAGACATGGCCGGGAATGGCGAACCGCGGCCACTGGGAGCTGCGAGCGGCTGTACCTGCGGACGCTCAGGTAAACAAAGCATCTCGCGGCCCGCCACCCTGAACAAGCCGCGAACCAAGTTTGGGAACCCCTGCACTAAGGCCTAGTCTACACTAGCACTCTAAGTCGATGTAAGTTATGCTAATTAAGTTACATAAGTATTGTAACTTAAGTCAATGTAGCTTACATCGACTTAAAGTGATGTCTACCCTGTTCTGTCGATGGAAGACGCTCTCCTGTCAACGTAGCTTCCGCCTCTTGTTGAGGTGGATTAATTAAAATGATGGTAGAGTGCTCTCTCATTGACTTATCACGTCTTCACTAGACCCACTAAATCGATGCCGCTGCATCGATCGCAGTGGCGCCAATTTAGCCCATAGGGAAGACAAGATTTGCAATTTTTTTGTCAGTAGCCAGTTCTGTTTATTTAGCATCAGAATAATCCACTTGATATGGTCCCAGCTTGAAGCAATCAGCTGAGATTTGCACAGAGGAATTTGAAAGACACCCTGGAAAAGGTTAGGTTGTCTAAAAAATAATATCTTTTATAGGAAAC